CACAGGTCAATGATCTACTATGTCCAGGCAAAAGAAGAGAAACTGACAGATAGGTTAAGGGACCAAATGAAACAATCTCAATTTGACAACATCACGCCACGAACTAGGGGAAGGAGGGGTGGGATTGGACTTGGAGGGTTATACGCTTATGAAATGGAGGACGTGGTGGAGAGCAAGCAAAGGTGGCAGTCGTCGATGCCGTTGTCACCGGCAAGTCCATCAGTGTGGCCTTCATGTTTACGTGCTAGCAAGTGTGGGTAAAGATTGAGAAGATTTGAGCCCTCTGACAGTTTGGCTTTGTGATTTGTAGTTCTTAAACTCAATTACAGAATCAAAATTTTAGGCCTACATTTAATAAATCCGGGTGTTGTAAAGTCCAGATTCAAAATTAAGTCCATTGATTTGAGAAAAAAATACAGAGAAGAAAGTGAAAGGGGCGCAGCCCACCTGGCACCGCTCAGCTCCCTCTCATGCGGCGCCACCAGATGGCGCCCCAACCACTAGTCACTTTCAAGCGAGGCATGACTCTGCAACAGCGGGAGCGATGGCGTTGCTGCATAGCACACGCAATGGCGGCGATGTTTCTGCACATCATTTCAACTGCAAATTTTTCCGCAAAAGAAATGAAGCTAGAATTTCTTTTATTGCAACACAACCTATGTTGCAAAAAAATCTCACAACACAACCTATATTGCAAAAATATACTCCCTTCGTAAACTAATATAAAAGCGTTTAGATTACTACTCTATAATAATCTAAACATTCTTATATTAGTTTACAGAAGGAGTATTCTATAACACGACCTCTATTGTAAATATTTCTATAACAAGATATTTGTTGCAAAGTAAAAGCATTTGGCCACTAGATTGTGTCATGCCTGACGGCTCACAAGGCGGCGTATCTTTAAAAAAAATGTCGACATGTAACAGTCCCCGTAAAATAGAGCATAAACGGTTATGAAATACTCCCTCCATCCCATAATTTAAGACGTTTTTGCAAACTATTGTAGAGGCAGCATAGTAATAAAATGCTTACAAGTTGAATATATATACTCCCTCCGTAAACTAATATAAGAGCATCTAGATTACTATTTTAGTAATCTAGACGCTCTTATATTAGTTTACGGAGGGAGTACATGACAAGAAGATTTGGAGGATCGCTTGGAGCGCCCGTAGATAAAAACATTGCAGATGTTGGGACTCCACCAATAGTTTAGGTGAAAAGAAAAAACAATACTCCCTCCGTCCCGAAAAACATGTCGCAGTGACATTTTTACAAAAACCCCCTCTGCGAATTCCCGACACAACCCGCGGTCCCTGGTCGTCTCCCTCGCAGCCTCACTCGTCTCCCCTGTGCGTCGGAGCCCTCCCTCTCGGCTCCCCCCGCGCTGGAGCTCCCCTGCTCGGCTCCCCTGCGCGTCGCCGGAGCTGCCTCGCCCCACACCTCCACCGCGTTGCTTCCCTCTCCTTGTTCCCTTGCTCGTTCCCCATGGTGAACCACGGGAAGGAGAAGGCTCGATTTTTTTTCTCGATCTGCTCTCCGACGGCGGCGGCCGGCCTTCCCCGAGCTTGGCCAGCAGGAGCTGTCCCTTCCCGTTGTCGATCTGCTCTCCGCGACGCCTCCTGCCTTCCCGGACCATCCCCTCTCACTCAGCCGCGACTCCCTCCCTGGAGCAGCCGTTCCCGCCCAACCCAAAGCCGCCGGTCGGAGCTACGCCGCAGCACGCTCCCTCCCCCCTCTTCTTGGGGACCGGATTGTGGCCGAGGAGGAGCTTGTCCTTGTCGCCCAGCAGCTCCCGCTCCAACGGGCTCGTCCACAAGTCCGGCAGCACCAGCCGCTCTTCCCTCTTCCGGTCCGCCCTCCTCCCTCCCCTCCCCTCCCGTGGCATGCTCTATTCTGTTATCTTCCTTCCTTCTTTGTCCTGATGATTTTTACTGACGGAGTTGTACACATAGGCGACCCAAATCCAACATTTTAGTAAGATTTGTACTGTCTCAAAATTCATCCATGAACTCTGACTCTGAGATTAGTACTGTCTCAAAGTTCAATAAGATTTGCTCATTGTTGCGCAGTACTGAATCATGGATTATATTGTGGCTCTGCAGGTCTAGCCCATCGACGACGACGGCTCCTCCTCATGCTCATCGGACTCGTGCACAAGTGCTCTGCAAGTCTGCATTGGGTAAAGTCTGAATTTTTCATTTTTACTACCGTCAAAATTCAGTTGTCAAAGAAAGTGCCATCAACATGTCAATGGCCATGCTAGACAGAGTTCTTATTCATGTCTAGGCAGAGTTCTTATTTATGACAAAACTGGATGTCTAGACAGAGTTCTTATTCATGTCTAATTGTGTTGACAGAGTTCAATGTACTCTGTCAATAGAATCAAAACTGATTTATTACCTTCCCATATGAACTTTACTGAAAAAATCAGTCACCATTCTGAATTTTGACAGTACTCTACAAACTGCTTCTGGGCAGGAAGCAGATACAGTTTTTCTTGGTGGGCGTGGTTTTGGAACAGCCATGTCTTCTCTAATTTTGACAGTGCTTGAGTTTAGAGTATGGTTATACTTTTGCTTAGGGTAAGTTAACACGTCTCTTTCTACAATTTTTAAATGCTTCTTGTCAGGAAGGGAATTATGTTTGTAAGGATAGTGTATTTTGCAAAGGCTTTTGTACTTGCTGTTTTGCTTGACTCCATCAATCCTCAAAGATTTCTTGTTTCTTTGGAGTTTCAGATACTAGATGTCTGTCTTGTTAGTGCATGCAGTTTTAGATAATAGATGAACTGAGAGAGAGAGAGCATAGGTGATCTTTAATAATAACAGTAAAAAAGGAAAATCTATCTTCTGCAATGTGTGTAAGCTGGTTATTGCCGGCCGGTGATATTTGTTGAAGAATAGAACGTGAGAGGTCATTCCCAACATGGGTCGATATCAAGGAGGGGCTATCTCCATCTATCTGTGGAGCTGGATACAGATGGGAGATGGCAAAATCGTTTTGGTTAGGCGTCAAGTCAACATCGGTAATGTCGTTGGATGAATGCAGAGCAGAACAGTGTAGACGTGCACGCACATATTCAGTTAAACTTGGACATGACTGCAGCCCATTTAAACTTGGACTACAGATATTGGATGGATCCATTTAAATTGATAGAAAACTGAATATTCACTGTAGTCTCAGTTAACTGAATTTTCTGAAGCCATTTTCCTGCTCACAAGTTGACAGAAAACTGTTTGAAACAAATTTTGACAGTAGCAATAACCTATCTTTGGAGTAAGTCATTTTATTTAGTAAAGTATAGAAAGTATTATTTCTTGCAAATTATTGTGTGACTATTCTGGAGATGGTCTTTAAGTGTTCCTATCTAGACTTCTTATTTTAGGCTTTAAGCTGATCCATTCCATGAGATATGCTAGATTTTAGCATCTGTATTGATGAACCTTTGATGAAACTAAGAAAAACTGGAAGTGTCCTTGATAGCATGAAATGGACCTCTTAACTAAATAAAACCAATTATTGACACGGAGTATTTAGGACAATCCATGAGGTTTTCTTAGATGCAAAAAAGTTCTGTTTGTTGTGTGCATCACAAATTTAGTTTTAGTTCCAGTGAAGTTTCCTGTCCTTTAGGTTTATTCTTATCAGAAACAAATTCAACTAACCAAATTAGCTGTTGCCTATCATTTTGGTATTGCCTAGGTGACTGGGTATATAATGGAAATAAACTGAAAAAGAAGAAAAAAATGCATTCTTCTTATAAATGAGTGTAGCTGCAAATGTTAGACATACTCCGCCAAGTACAGTAGTGTGCATATCTTTGAAACATCTTGGAAAATATGCAGAGTAGCTGTTGATGTTGATCTCCAGCATGTATGCAGAGTAGTTGTTTACTGAATTTTAGGAGTAAACTGACTGAAGCAAATTTTAGAATGACTGAATTTTCAGCCAAGTTTGTTTCTGAACAGTACTGACATGGAGCGGTGTAGTGGCCATGTATAGTAGTGTAGTGGCCCTGCAGTGACCAAAATTTTCAGATTATTCTGATTAATTCAAATTAATCCAAATAAATTCCAACAAGGAGTTTATATACAAGGATTAGACAAGGCATACAACATGCATTTGTGTAACCAACATGCATGCATTTGAATTTGAATGATTCAAATAACTGAATTTATATGTACTCCACTTTATACCCAAGCTTTCATTAAGTAATTTATGTTTGTTTATTTTTGTTTTTTCTCCGCAGGAAATACTTTGGCATGGAGTACATTGTGGCTCTGAAATCATTTCTGAAGCAGTGAGATCTGAAGTTTATGCTAGAATTGAAGTGTTTGTTTCCTAACTATAGGTATGCTCATCCAGAGAAGTGTTTTCAGAAACTTGTCCATATTCTCCTTTTTCAGTTAGTTTTTCCCACAATTTGGGAAGGAGCAACAGTCAGCAGTCTTAACGTTTTAATATGTCTGAAACAATTACTCCCAAAGGAAACAAACACTTCAATTTATCATCATTTTGGAAAGAACCATGGTAAATGTTTGATCATGCTTTTTTCCGTTAGTTTTTCCCACATTTTGGAAAGAACCATGCACAAAGGAAACAAACACTTCATTTGATCATCATTGGAGTATTTGCAAACAAGGCAATTGCTTAAATTTACTCGAGGCCTTGCTATTAATTGAAAGCTTTTAGTTAACAGTAAATCAATTTCACAAATTGTCAGGTAGCAGTACTCTGATGGAGTACCTTCTTCAGAGTGCAAATAGCACCAGCAGCAGCAGTCACGGCGGGAGTCAACAGCAACAACAGCAACACGGCACGGATCAGCAACAGAAGCACAGGCAGAGCAGTAGCATCAACACGGGAAGAGGAGCAGCAGCAGCACGGGTTAGCTCCACCGGTGGCAGGGGAGAAACAGAGGAGAAACAAGATGCAGCAGCACGGGCTAGCACCACCGGCGGGCACGCAGGCAGAGAAGGAGCACCACGGCGACACGTGGGAGACCACGGAGGACGCGCGCGAGCTCCTGTCCACCGGATCGTGGAGGCCGGCTCCGACGATGCCCGTAGGTGGGTCGCGGTGGCGCACGGGAGGCAGCTCAAGGTGGACTGCAGGAGCACGAGGAGGACTCGCGGGAGCTCGAGGACGATGAGAGGGAGCTCCTGCTCCACCGGATCGTGGTTGAAATTCCAGCGACGCTCGCAGGTAATCGCTGCGGGATGGGATCGCGGCGGTGGCGGAGTAAGTACTTGGCGACGCGGCGGTGGCGGAGTAAGTACTTGGCGACGGCAGCTGCGTTGAAGGTACGTGGCGACGGAGGCGGAACACTTCCTGGTGGGCTGCAAATCGCGCAGCTTGGCGGCGCCGCCGCCCCCTGCAGACGCACGGGCGACGGCGGAGGAAGAAGACGGGGTGGAAGGGCTTGTTTGTGATTGTTTTGAAACTACGAGGGCTTTTTTTATAAAACTGGCAATGAACTACACCTGCGACGTGTTTTTCAGGACGGAGGGAGTACATAGGTAAGAAGCACAGAGGGATACGAAGACAGGTCTATATACAATTGTACAGTCAACCGTCACAAAGCACTGTCTAGAAGGTGAATACAAAAGTTTTACATTCATGTTCCCAACTACTCAAGCAGGGTCTACTGAAACAAAGTTCATGAGCGCACAGCAACAAAGCAAAGTCATTCAGCGCAGGGTGCAGGTGCAGGTGGGCATGAAGCCGAGTCTCAGAAGTCTGGGCCTTGCTGGAAGAACTCGAGGTCTGGGTGAGTGCTTCCACCTGGATGCCTCGGACGCCTGCGTGAACAGCAAATGAGGAGGTTGGCATCAGCTGTTCATCAAGTAGAAATAATCATGGCACCTTCAATTATACTACTATGACTTCCATGACGTATTGACATATGTATTATACTGAATGTTGCACTGGATGCAAGTTAGCACGACAAAAAATGAACTATAAGAATGGTTTGTTTCTTCCTTGAGATAGAAGACCTTTCTAAAGCGTTATAAATAAAGTACAATAATAGGCCATCTTGAGCCTTGCCAGTTGCCAAGCATAAAGTGGGTCTATCAAACATGTTAAGAATAACCAACTTACCTCACAAAGCGAGATGGTTCAAATCCTGGAACATCTGGCGGGCCGATTGGATCGTAACGGCCGCCAGGTGGAACACTCCTGTTATGAAATATTGATTCCGTTTACGACAGCAGCAGAGATGACAAAACAAATACTTCAATTAAATAGGAGAACTGAACATACCCAGGACCACCAAAAGGAGCGGGAAAAGGATTTGAAGGAAAGAAGCGTGGATCATTTGGGCCTGTAGTAATCAAATAGGTTGTAAGTTAGAGACAGTACAGAGGTACAAATGTAAAGAGATTCAATAGGTATTCAGTTGACAACATATTACCAACGTGCATACTACCACCCGGCCCACCACTGCGAACAATAAGACACATGGTTAATTATGTGTGGAAGTACTGATCTGTCGATGTTTTTACACGTACATGATGGTAGGAGACAGGCCTGTGAGGGTAGAAGCCTGCACCAGGAGCACGGAAGGTGTCATCATGACCAAACGGAGCTACTGGAGGATATATCAGGCTGTACCACAATACATAAAAGGAAATATTAGCCCCGTTATCAATATCCTATAACCGATTCACTAATAGCCTATTTATCCTACAAGAGCGCTAGGGAGTGCAAATTTTGGTAAAACCAAACATAAGTTCACATGAACTCCTTCACTAGTTTGTGCACTTGTAAATTCAGAAAAATTCTCAGGAAATTCATAGTACTATAAAATGGTAATTCAGGCACATGTTTCAAAAAAAATCATATGCATGATGTAGCAAAATGACAGGAGTATAAGTTATACAACAAAAAGACGTTATGAGTTTTGCTTCGGTACTCCCCCCCTTCTAATCTGCATCGAAATCCGTAAACTTTCCTTGGGGGGTGAAACGAAGCAAAATTCTCTTATATTTTTTTTATGTATAAAGAACAAATATGATCATAATTTCTATTGAGATTTTGTATATATGCCTAAACTAAAATTTTGTAGTCCATAATGTTTTTGAGAAATTCGAGAATGTCGGAATCTATAAACTCACAAGGGGGTACATATGGACATGAGTTCACTGTCATCTTAATCAAATTTTTGGGAGAATATATATGTGTGTGTATATATATATATATATATATATATATATATATATATATATATATATATATATATATTCATTCTTGTACTTTATCAACGTGATTCATAAATGAGTGTAAAGATACATTATATATTATATATGCCACAAATGCTATCAGTAACATATGTTATATCCAAAGTAACATCAGTAATGACTCCACGGATATTCTTTTGTTTACTTCCAACATACATCAAGAGAATTTGCATTAATCAAGACAGTATAGATTAACCATATCAATAGGCTGTAGTACTAAAATTATGAAGTTGTACTAAAATTAGATGGCAATAGAATATGTGCAAGGACGTGCATGCTCATCAAAATTGAACAAGGCCAGATGATATCAAGACCGAAGGTATGGACCAAGACATTCAGCTTGTGATTGAGGCGGTGTAGGCTTGAAAGAAGGCAGCAAAAAACTAGAAAAGACTAACTAGTGGCTAAGCCTTAGCGCACTGTGTCTTCTCTTTTCTGTCATGATATCCTACTATTTCTAGAAACCCAAATACATTTAGATTCTAATTATATTGGACAGGACACAATAAAAATAACGACAGAGTACAAAAAAAGTAATAAAGGAGTGACACACAAAAGAAGAAGAGGAAATGTAGGGTTCTAGAAATTGGGTTTTCTGTTGTAGCTGGATACCCAGCAGGTTCTCATCTAATTCCCTAGAACCCTACATACACAAAAAAAGTATTTCAAAGCTTTTCTGTTGTAGCTGGATACTGGACCAAGATATCCTATGATGGTTCTCATACCCAGCAGGTTCAGTAGTCCTTGTATCCCGCAGAACATTTTCAGAACTGGAAGGAGAAGTGCCACATGTTAGAGAATTACTAGCAAATGGAGTCAGCTACAACAGAAAAGCTTTGAAAGTAAAATTCTAGGCAAAGGAGGAAAACCATCAGAACATAACCAAAAAAGCCCAAATTTCCGAAACAATGATATTGTTTCATTCGTACAAAGCAAAAAAATGCAACATGGAAGTATTTACAGAGGGCGATATACTAGATTTTCTGTTCGCAAGAAGATAAACAGAACTACCTGTTTATTGATGAACTGCTCTCAACATCAGGCTTCTGGGCAGCAGCAGCAGCAGCAGCCTTACCATCCAATTCAACTAATAAGCTTGAGTTAAGGGTGTTAATGAAGCCCGGAAAATTCTTGTACATATCCTTATAATTCTTCGGCTGTTCTTCAGAGAAGAAATCCTTCACACTATATACGAGGAACCAGAGTCAAAAACTCACGACTATAAACTGGAAGATCCACATTTGAGCAGAACTATTCAACAGAAGGCCAGCCAACAGAGCAGCCACCCAAAATATTTTACATAATGATAAACTAAAACACGAAAGAATTGTCCTGTTGGCTGTACTGGGTCTTGCTTAACAAAGAAATTAGAAATGGATGCAATATTACTTACTGCACCTTGTATCAAACCGTGGATACATATCCATAGCTTGTGCAGAAAATCATACTCAATTGAACAAAATACATTTCTACACTAAGGTATTTATAGCACACTAACATGTTAGCAGAAATCATAAACGGACCCTGCAAGTCCAGCTCGTCCTTACTTGTTACATCATTTATACTGTTCAGTTTATAGCAACATCATTTCTATAATGCTAGTTAATACAAGTGAAGCTACTTAACAAAAGAATGTGTTTCGTACTGACTACCACTGTTCATGTGCATACAACAAAGCACAAAAAACCATCGGAGTAATCTTACATATAAAAAAATCTCCACACGCGTAAAAAAAGAACATGGAAACAGGCGTTGAGTTAAAATGGCATGGCTTACAATTCATGTTATTATTTTACCAAATATTTTAGTTAGTCCAGGTGGAAAGGATGGTGACAGAGTAAATGGGCCATCACCACAAACTGAAATACGTATAGTAGCAAAGCAAATTTACAATTTAGCCCCACTTAGTAACCAAATAGTGGGAAGGTGAACAAATCATCACTACCAACTGAAATATTAATTGGAGTGAAGATTAGCACATAACATACATGTCTTAGATCACGAATCATATTTCATGAAGCAAGTAACATGTGTTCCAGTAAGTTATTACATTGCTCTGGCATAGTCTAATGCTGCTAGTGTCCATTGTGTTCTAGTAATGTTATAACAATAAGCAAATCACATGGAACCTAAGAATGTCTAAATAATAATAACAAGTAAGACTGGAACATACTTTATCTGGACATTGCAGGGTTCCTTGTGTTGTGCCTCAAGATCCAGCGCATCAATAGCAAGGAAGTCATCAATCACTAGACATTTCACTAAAATGCGCTTCTTCTTGCCCCCCTCCTCCTTGGAGTACAGAAAGGCATAGCAATTGTCCATAGTGTTCCACCCATCAATTCCCACCTCCTCGTCAACTAGAATTAAGCAAAATAAAAACATTAGTTATATAATGAAAGGCTGGCAATTACAATACAAGTCAGAACTCTGCAGTCTGCACAGGAGTCACTTTCCTCTTTCACCTCACAACAAAATCTAACTAAATTCCCATGAGTGAACCAATTACAGACTTTAATCTCCCACTGGAACTTACACTTGGTATATTCCAGCCAGAATGACTGGTAAATTAGTTCCACAATACAAGCAGGAATAAGAAGCCACGTGTTGCATTCTTTTAATGACTGGAATATTCCAGCTCCCCACGACTGGCAACAACTATTTAGCTTAAAGCTAAGTTTCCAAATTTAGATGTCTATTCCTGCCTATTAAGATAAGTTTGACTAGAAAACAATCCTAATTTTATCTCTCCTACTTAAAAAAATACTTATCTCTGTCTTACGTCATCTTTTCGTCCAACTCCCCTCACCTCACCCTACCTACCTCTCTCCCCATTCCACCTCGGTTTTATTGATTTTTTTTCCCACCGGTTTTCCTTGAATACCGACTCAACTTCACCGTGCCTTATTGGCTTACCAGATAAAATCATGTTTCTTTGGTAAGTCAATAATGTTAAGTTGGCCAGCCTATCAAGCATGGAGTCTTCTCCCTTAATTAGAGTCCTAATGATTAAGCAACTTTGCTAGAAAAGACGAATATTGCTGTTTACTTTTATCTACTTTTCAGTAATTAGGGTTATGTCCGTTTAGAGATCTTATTAGAGTTTGAATAGATTAACCGGCTTGTAGGTCAAGTCTTGTCTACAATATAAAGGGGCCGACCCCTCTCACTAAAGCAGATAAGAATATTGTGTTTACAAGGTTCAGTCACACATGCAAATACTAACTCTGAAATAGGAATTTCACTCAACTGGATGGATTGAACTGCTAACTTTAGATCAGAACATATAAACGCAAACAACAGTACAAGAAGCGGTAAGCTGATTCAGAATTCCAAAGTGTTATATTACTACCAGAGAAGATCAAACCATAGACCATAGATCTAGGGAAGGGACTGAAAGGATCCGAGTGAATTTACAGAAACAATTAAGCTGTTAACATTTTGATTGACTCAGGGACAAATTTCCCAAGTCAGCCAATTACGCCTGAAGCAGCACAAACTGCTACTGGTTCAGGACCTTGCACCATTAACACCTGAATATAAACGAATTATAGTTCTACATCCATCCACCCGGGAACTCAACCCTAACAAGTAGGCGATAGTACGGTCACACTTAAATCATATAAGTAACCCTAGGGGCTAGGGCTAAGGGCGTAAAGCGGAACGCACCTGCGGGAAGGGGGTCGGTGAGCGCGGCAGGGCCGACGGCGCAGAGCGAGTACCCCGCGGCGAGGAACGCGGCGTTTGCGGCGAACGCCACGCTGTCGTGGGCGCCGCGGAAGACGGGGCGCGCGGCCTTCACGACCGCCATCGCGGCCGCGTCTGTCACCATCGTAACGCTGTGGGCGTCGGTCGCGCGCGGCGAGGGGTGAGAGGCGGTAGCGGAGGCGTCGTCGGTCAGCGCACTCGGTCGGGGAAGCGGCGAGGCGGTGGTCGCGGGGTTTCGGGGTTTCTGGAGAACTTATTTATGGACGAACTGCTCTCAGCGTCAGGCTTCTTGGGCAGCAAACTGGGCAAAACGGAAAGCACGAGAAGCCGAGGAACGGAGGCGGAGACATGGATCGGGGGCCACAGCACGGACGGCTGGGCCACAAGCCGAGGGTTAGAGTAGTTGGGCCATGGATTTGGGAGCTTCCTATTGCGCGCCTTCAGCGCCGCGCAAGGGAACGGGCGCCCGCAGCAGCCGCTGGATGGGCCGGCCCACGACCGCGCAAGGCGCAACGCGAAACGCGAAAAAAAGACCGCCAAAAATACCACGCCACTGGGATTCGTACTCGCGACCTCGAGCTTCGATACGTAAGACTACTTAGGCTGGCGCCACAGTGTGAGTAAGGCTGGTCACAGTGGAAGTAACTTAGCAAGTAACGTAATACTCTCTCCGTTTCTAAGTATTTGTCTTTCTAGACATTTCATATGGACTACCACATACGGATGTATGTAGACATATTTTAGAGTGTAGATTTACTTATTTTGTTCCGTATGTAGTCACTTGTTGAAATATCTAGAAAGACAAATATTTAGAAACGGAGGGAGTACATCCCAAGAAAAATTTGCTTATGTGGCATGTACTTAATGAGGAGAGAGGTGTTTGGAGTAACATAATGTGTTACCGTAAAATAACGCATCTCAAGACAAAATGAGTCTACATCTTAATAAATGATGTCTTGCATGATACCACATACTCCCTTCGTTCTTTGATATAAGGAGTATAGATTTTTGGGAAAAAAATCTAAAATATAAGGTGTCTTGCGTTGCACCACTCATTTGGATATTTTTTTTAGAGATTTGATTACATTTACTTACATTAGGCAAGCTTCTCTATTTTCTCATGTCAATTAGTCAGGTGTAACCTCACCCAAAACTTGTGAAATTTTCACTCCACGTGTGTTCTTTAATTTCCGTGCCAAAAACTATATACCCTATATTTAGGAACAGAGGGAGTATATGTTACTCTCCACTATGAAGATAGTAATATAGACTAGTAACATATGCATGTTACTAGTCTAAGTTACTCCCCACTATGACTAGCATAACATCACTAGTAACATCACGCTTTTTAAGATAATTTTGCTTATGTGGCACATATTCAATGATGAGAGAGGTGATGGTGGTAACTTAGCTAGTTACTGTAACATCACACATACCAACACAATATGAGTTTATAGGCTAATAAATGAACCATAACATTACAACACACATATGTTACTATCCACTATGGAGGTACTAATATAGTCTAGTAAAATGTGATGTTACTAGTCTAAGTTACTCACCATTGTGACTCGTCTTACAATGAGAGTAATATAGGTAGTAACATCACACATATCTAGATAAAATAGATGATGTGGCAAGCAATAAATGAAGAAAGAGAGGCATGTAGTAACGTAGCTAGTTACTACTAGTATGAGTAACATCACACATATCAATGCAAGATGAGTCTATAGCATAATAAATGAAGTATTGCATGTTATCACACATATGTTACTACCCAGAACATGGGCATGTTACTACTTTATGTTACTGCCCATTGTGGCTAGTCTAAAGGCTAACCACTGAAACAACTTAATGCTTGTGAACATTGACAGCGTGAAGTCTTTAAAGCATAGTAACTAGACGCGCAATTTATTGCGCATCACACTATAGTGTTTATATTTTCTAAATATTGGAAACATGTTCACATATTACCAATAAAGTTCATGAGCATGCAAAAAAAAAGGTTCACCAAAATCGAAAAAGTTTGTCGAATTTGAAAAAAAATCATCAATTTGAAAAAGTTCATCTAATTTGGAAAAGGTTCATTGATTTTTTTTAAAGTTCATTGATTTGAAAAAGGTTCATCAATTTTGAGAAAAGGTTCAAAAAATTGTAAAAGGCTCATCAAATTTGAAAATAAGTTCCTAAATTTTGAAAAAGGTCATCAATTTGAAAAAAAATCATGAGTTTCGTAAAATTCAGTTCAAGGATTTAGAAAAGAAGTTCATCTATTTGAAGAAAACAATTACGAATGTGGAAAAAGAAAGTAGAAAATGATAGAGAAAAAATGAAAAAAGGGGAAAAGAGAAATATAGAAATCGATGAAAACATGCATCTTATCGCAACTCTTGTGGTGGTCGAGTTGGTTACACGTCTATATGTGGTGACCCGCAACGCTGGTTCGAATCACGGATCACACACCATTTTTTGCAGTCTATCATGTGTATATGCTGGTGCATGCGCCGGTTAGGAATTGCCCATGGATTTGCTGTATGAGTTGGCCAGACGGGCCTGTTTTGAGGCATAAGAAGGCTTTTTAATCTTATTTTGGGTTACGTGGGCTATTCATTCACCCACAAAAAAGTGGGTTATTCGGGTCATTGGCCAAGGAAACCTGAATTTACATCGAAAACCAGAACAAAAAAAACCCGGTGTGAACAGAAACTGAACCGAAAAACAAAAAGGCCGATCACCTGACAAGTCAGTCAAATCTAGTCGGTTCGGATTCGGTTTTCGGTTTATAGGACCCAAATGGGCAGTGCGGGCAACATCGTCCTTACGGCACATCTAGTGGCGTTCATCGAACAGACGCCCCAAATGCCCACGGACATATCCGCAAACATCTGGTCGGGCGGACGTTATCCAACCCTATCCCTCAAAACATGGCTCTTTTTAAAAAACATATATATTATTCCAATGCATCAAGAATCCTAAATAGTACAATTCATGAAAAGTCCAAAGATAAATATTCCAACGCAACAACATTCCAAATATAAGTTGCAATCCAAACATAATAACTTGCACGCCTAATGCGGGAAGAGAAAATCAAGTGGTACCACAGATCAAAAGTAGACTTCATCTTTGAGGGAGACAACAATACACAATACTTCCAAATGATTGCCAATCATCAGCATAGGAAGAGAACAAGAAGTGTATTTTAGTCTCCAACAAGATAAGGGGCGGATCAAATGTCAGTCAGAGCTAAAACCTTATATCTCCAAATACTACAAGTCTCCGTTCGAGGTTTTGGAATTTCACCCTCGATGAGACCAGAACATACAATATCCCACAAGTCACATCAAAATATATATATCTGCATGACACATTTCTCCGAAGAGGAGATGAGAGCTGCAGTATTCCAGTTGGAACATAACAAAGCTCCAGGCCCTGATGGCTTTCGCAGAATTCTGTCAGAACTTTTGGGATGTCATCGAGTCTGACGTAATGGAGTTGTTTAATTGTCTTCGTCTCGTCCAACTTGATCTATCCAGACTAAATTTTGGCGAGAATGTCTTGTTGCCGAAAATTAAGGAGGCTGAGCGAATTCGGCAATGTAGACATGTATGCCTTCTCAAGGTTAGCTTCAAGATCTTTACAAAAGATTCTACTAATAGACTCAACACGGTTGCTGACCATATCGTCCGACCATCTCAAACTACTTTGATGCAAGGAAACAATATACTCCATGGAGTATTTGTGACGTCCTCGATTCAACCGTACACTAATCATACACGCAAACGTGTACGATCAACATCAGGGACTCACGGGAAGATATCACAACACAACTCTACAAATAAAATAAGTCATACAAGCATCATATTACAAGCCAGGGGCCTCGAGGGCTCGAATACATGAGCTCGATCATGGATGAGTCAGCGGAAGCAACAATATCTGAGTACAGGCATAAGTTAAACAAGTTTGCCTTAAGAAGACTAGCACAAACTGGGATACAAATCGAAAGAGGCGCAGGCCTCCTGCCTGGGATCCTCCTAAACTACTCCTGGTTGTCGTCAGCGGCCTGCGCGTAGTAGTAGGCACCTCCCGAGTAGTAGCAGTCGTCATCGACAGTGGCGTCTAGCTCCTGGACTCCATCGTCTGGTCGCAGCAATCGGGTATAGAAAGAGGGAAAAGAGGGAGCAAAGCAACCGTGAGTACTCATCCAAAGTACTCGCAGCAAGGAGCTACACTACATATGCATGCATTGGTGTCAAATGGAAAAGGGGTAGCATATGTGGACTGAACTGCAGAATGCCGGAATAAGAAGGGGATAGCTAGTCCTATCGAAGACTGCGCTTCTGGTAACCTCCATCTTGCAGCAGAAGAAGAGAATAGATGGTAAGTTCATCAAGTAGCATCGCATAGCATAATTCTACCCGATGATCCTCTCCTCGTCGCCCTGTGAGAGAGCGATCACCGGTTGTATCTGGCACTTGGAAGGGTGTGTTTTATTAAGTATCTGGTTCTAGTTGTCATAAGGTCAAGGTACAACTCCAAGTCATCATGTTACCGAAGATCACGACTATTCGAATAGATTAACTTCCCTGCAGGGGTGCACCACATTTCCCAACACGCTCGATCCCCTTTGTCCGGACACACTTTCCTGGGTCATGGCCAGCCTCGAAAGATAAACACGTCGCATTATATGTGGAATAAGGCTATTATATGTGGACTGAACTGCAGAAAGCCGGGATAAGGGGGGATAGCTAGTCCTTTCGAAGACTACGCTTCTGGCAGCCTCCGTCTTGTAGCATGTAGAAGAGAGTAGACTGAAGTCCTCCAAGTAGCATAGCATAGCATAATCCTACCCGGCGATCCTCTCCTCGTTGCTCTGTTAGAGAGCGATCACCGGTTGTATCTGGCACTTGGAAGGGTGTGCTTTATTAAGTATCCGGTTCTAGTTGTCATAAGGTCAAGGTACAACTCCAAGTCGTCCTATTACCGAAGATCACGGCTATTCGAATAGATTAACTTCCCTGCAGGGGTGCACCACTGTAACGCCCTCGATGCGGCTATATCTCCCACGTGTCGAAGCACGACTTAGAGGCATAACCGCATTGAAAGCAATGTCGCAAGTGAGGTAAT